AATATTTGTTCTGCAAGCCTGAGGACCTGAGTTTGAATGGCCATCACTCACATACAAAGCTGGTCATGGCTACACATGCTTGTATCCCCAGCATTATGGGTGAGAGATAGGTGGACCCTGAGACCTTGCTGGCCAGCCAATGTAGTCAATCAGTTTGCTTCTGGTCCCCTGATGGATTCCTAGGCAATGAGGAAAAGAGCAGTGAGAATAATAAAGGAAGACATCCAACATTCTGCTCTGGATTCCACATGGGCTGGTTCACGTGTACATGGACATTCACATGTCTGCATCAACACACACACACACACACACACACACACACACACACACACACACACACACACACGTACTGCATGCATGCAAACACCTAGCTAAATTATGGAGATAATGTGTGTGTATAGCAAAAAAAAAAAAAAAAAAAAAAAAAAAAAAGCTTTCAAAGAATGACCATTGAACAGAGGAGATCTAGCCCCTCCCATGTGGTCAAGTTACACAGTCTTTGTAGCTTGTGTCATCATCTGAAAATCATCCGTGTGCCATGATCTTTCCTTTCCCATAGGTAACCTGTGGCATCAGAAGGTGAGTTCCACTGCCCCAGAGACATGGACGAATTCAAGTGTTGCTTTGTTTTCAACATCTGCCCAATCCATGTTTATTGACTAAGCAGATGAATGAAATTCAACCTTATCTTTAGTAATTCTAAAAAATTATAAAATTATCTATACCCTTTTAAAACAAAAGCACTACTAACTCGATTAAAAATGAGAGGCCAAAAAAAAAAAAAAAACTGAGAAAAAGGAAAAGGTGTAGCATGCCCTTAAAATCTTGAATATGAAATCAGGAACTACCCCAGACAGACTATGTGATTAATGATTTATTATAGGCCTGTGAATACCATCAGCAAATAATATAGGCAATAAATAGGATAATGCCGGGTGTGCTTAATTTGCATCATTAAAAAAGACAAATATGGCTGGAGAGAGAGCTCATCAGGGAATGTGCTTGCCTGGCAAGCATGAGGAGTTGAGTTTGATCCCCTGAACTCATGTAAAAGCCAGGCATGGCAGTGCATATCTGGAACTCCACTGCTTGGAATGAGGAGAAAGGCAGAACCCAGTGTTTGCTTGTTCCTAGCCAAACGAGCAAGTTCTCAGTTCAGTGAGAGATCCTGCTCAAGAAAAAAAGGTAGAAAGCAACTGGGAAAGATACCTGATATCAATCTGGGGTGTATACACACACACACACACACACACACACACACACACACACACACACACACGGCAAATACTCTCAGCTCATGCATTCCAGGCTGTAGCTGCAACACAAGCCAGTCTAGAAATCTGGCATTCGGAGTGGCCTGTGCTACATGCTCTACAAAGAATTAAGTAATAACCCCTTCCTTTGAGACCCAGTGGAAGCAACACAATGCTATGGATGAAGCCACACCCATCCTTGCCTGCATCTGACACCATGGTTGAGCCAACTCCAATTGTTCCCCGTTCTTCCTCATGCAGCTTAGACTTCGTGGTGAGCAGTCTGACCCAGACACAAATGCAAGGTTCTAAGTGTAAACCACTTAGACTAATCTCATTTCCTGGCAGTGGCTGGTTGAAAAGAATACAGATGACTCAGAATATGGGCAAGGGGTACCCAAATAAGCTTGCTATAGGCATTTGTGGAAAAGATTCTTTGTTGGGAAAAGTAAAAGCAGGATGTTCTCCCACCGGGTGTGATTTGGTCTGAGTGTGATATCTGGAGTTGCTACGTCTGTCTTGAGGTAGAGCTGACATCAGCAGGGCAGGGGGACAGAGAGAATCAGGGTCACACAGGGGATATATCAGTTCTGGCCATTCAGTGTTTCAGGAATTACTATAAAACTGACCACTAAAAGAATCTCATAATTGGCTCCTCCCTTACAATCTAGCATCTAGACCTGATACTAGAAAGAGCAGCTAAGAGTCCATGACTATGCATCCCATTTGGACAGAAGTTTGGAATTTACAATATTTCATAGGAGCCTTCTACCCCTGTCTCTCATAAATTCCTCCTTTGCTTGTTCAACTTCAGGCACATAAGCCTCCCCACTGACTGATCCTAACATAGCTGAGCTCTTGCCTAGAAGCTTTCCTCTCTTATCTGGAATTCTCTTCAAATATCCACAAGACTCAGCCTCATGCTGTCTTCACATAAATTCTTAGCCATCCTATTTAAAAGAGAACTCTATGCCCTTACATCCTCTTTGTTTCCTCCATTACAGTTACCTTACTTTTTTTTTTCAAGACAGGGTTTCTCTGTGTAGTTTTGGTGCCTGTCGTGGATCTCACTCTATAGACCAGGCTGGCCTCAAACTCACAGAGATCTACCTGGCTCTGCCTCCCGAGTGCTGGGATTAAAGGCGTGCACCACTGCCGGCCAGCTACTTTACATTTTTATACTCAACTTATTTTCCCCTAGAGTTCCAAGTATAAAGTAGATGCTCAGTGGGTATTTAACAAACTAGACAAAGAGATAATTATCCTTTTTCTTTCCAGGTATTTTGGTAGGAGTTTTCTGTTGCAGCTTGAAGCATCATTCACAGCGTTCTGCTGAGCTGCCAGCTTGTTCCCAAGAGCAAGCTGGTCCTAAACTCACATTGAGTGTCTCTAGAATAGAGCCCTCCCACTCCCAAACAGCACTCTGTGTTGTACAGTAGAATGTGGGCGGTAGACAATTTGCTAGTGTAGAATTCAAAGTTTGCTTTCGTTTTCTATGAGATTTTGAAAAATGGACAATTTTCCCGCTATGCCTTGATGCCCACTTGCTTTCCACACTGGTGCTTTGGAGCCATTACCAAATAATGTAAGGGATACCTGAACAGAAACACCGAGATACCACCACAGAGGACCTGGTGACTGAAATGACCCCCCCCCCCCCACCAATGACTAATGGGTGGGTAATGAACACAGTATGGATATGCTGAAAATTTCTAGGTGGGATAGCATGAGATTTCATCTTTCTATTTAGATGAGCATGCAAATAAATATCGACTACTTCTGGCAATTTTCTGTTTAATATTTTTGGACCATGGTTGGCCATAGGTAACCGAAACCATGGAAAGTGAAGCCATAGACAGACGGGAACAACTGTACTTATTCAATAAGCATCCACACAGTTGCTGTTTGGTGCCAGGATCCTCTTCAGGAATGCTCTATCAGAGGCTAAGAACACCAGTTCTGATGTCAGTTGAGTATAGGGCTAGGGTAAGCAGGTAAACTTTATGAGCCTCAATTATCCCCACTCAGAAATGGGGGCACAAAGATGGACTGAAATAGTATATTAAAATAGTCTTTGCAGAATATACCCTATGAATAGAATTTTCATTAATTTTACTCTGGTACTATCTCAAGAGATCTTTCCCATCCTCTGCAGAGAGTCTAGGAAGGCAGTCATTAGCTCAAAGACGCGGATAAAGCATGTACCTACAAGTCCTGGCTAATTCTTGTTCTTTTTTAGGTAGCAGATTAGGTGCTGGCTGTTCTGGGGAGTTTCCCCCACTCTCTCACCCAGCTATAAAGTGTTAGGCAACTCACTGTTTTATTTTTTTCCAGCATATTTCATGTTCGCTTAGATCATAATTGAACATCACTTATGGTATCCCCAAGAGAGTGCAAACTGCTTACAGGAGTGAGGGCCAGTAGGGTGTTGTGCATGATGATGGTTTCTTTTTCTTTCTCTGTGCCTACCATATACCAGGTCTTCCAGAATTATACTGGAATTATAATTAATCTGTTCCACCTAGTTAGCATTGGGGAAGGGGTGAAAACAACAGAGCCCTTTCTTTCCCCTTTTCCTCCCCTCCCTTCCCTTCTCTTCCCTCCCCTCTCTCCTTCCTTCCCTCTCTCCCTCCCTCCTTCCTTCTCTCTCCCTTTTATCTACCTGTCTTTCTTTCTTTTTTGCTTGCAGAAATGTAATTAACTAATGTAATTTTTATAAGTGAACATAATGCATGGGCTCAGTGCGGCATAAAGAACCTGCTCCCTTCCTTTACAGAGTCCACTTCTCACCAAGCACCTGCTGTGAGCCCTCTCACATCGTGACATCCCCCCTCACAGCTGAGAAAAGGGCTTTCATCTCATGGCAAGTTGTTCGTAATCAGACCAATTTTGCTTCCAGCTGAGTGAAGCCCCAACAAAGCAAAATCACATAGGAAGTCCCTTTGTAGACTCCTGGGTGCTGGGAGAAAACCCCAGGCTTTGCTTTGACACACAGGAGGGAGGTTTTCACTCCTGTCAGCACCTGGGGCAGAGAACTAGGCCGCACAGTGACCTCTAATTTTTGGCATTCTGGTTTCCTTTGAAAGTGCTCAAAATACATTCAGATCTTACAGTTGCTTTGCTCTTATTGGAGCCCTCTGATGTAAGGAAGGAAGGAAGAGAATTTCTCAGTGTGGTCTCTTGGATCAACCTATGTTAGAACTACTTGGGAGGGCTATGGAATACACAAATTCATTGGCCTGATTCCAGACTTCATGGATCAGAATCTTTAGTGTTAAGACCTAGGAATATGCATTTGATGGCCTTCCCAGGTGATCTGTATACACCACCAGGTTTAAAGATCAGCTGGGGTCCTGTCAAAAAGTTGCTACTTGGATAGTGAACCAAATTTAAAGCTAGGATAGTCTGACTTCATACTAACCTGATTACTAAGCCCTTGGAGTAGTTGATTGTGAAATCTTCCATCCAAAGGACAAGATTTCTTCTTTCTGAGATGGAAGGTCCTATCAGAGCCTCCATTTCACCCCGAGACCAACAGAAGGAAGCGGAGGAAAGAAAGGCTCCGTTTTACAACTTTCAGGCTTGGATGTGTGGGGTGAAGCTACAATTATCCCAAGACACTGATGCTGCTAAACATCTGGAAAGGTTATTGTCAATCACTGACTTCCTTTTGTGCAAGTGGGGTGAGGCCTCAAGTGTTCGTACACGCGGAAACATCTCAATCAGTATTTTCTTTTCTGGAGTCAGGCAAAAGGAGATGCAATCACTGAGAGATGAAATGTGTTTCTACTGTCCTGGAGTCGCAAACGGCAGCACAGAGTGAAGACATTCCTGCTCACGTTATCAGCAGAAGACCCTTCTCCCTTGCAGCTGTCAGCTTTTACATTAAGGTGTGTGGAATGCTGCTCACATCCACAGCCAAACTGATGTATATTTCCCCCTCTCATTAGAAATCTGAATCAATAAAACACCTCATCCTTCCTTCCACATGAGAGATCTTCTCAGAGGAAGAGAAAGGAAAAAAGTTACTCCCATTTAGTGAAACAGAATAAACACAATGATTGCCCATGAATGAGATGAAATGGCCTGTGTGGACAGTCACGGAAGAACAATGAACGAACAAAAGGAAATCAATTGTATATTGTAGCTGGAGGAGGGAGATCCATGAACTCTACCTAATGTGTCTGAGTTTTCCTATACAAATAACCAGATATTGAATTTTAAGACATTGTTTGATGTTCAGAGAAGGCTAGGTATGCAGTCTGTAAATTAATCCTAATAATGATATTGTAAAACTTTATGGAATTAAATCATATGCCACATGAAATGTGCATGCTAGGCAGATCAACTTCAAGGATCATAGAGGCCTGGAAAAACTGAGTGTTTGTCTTCCTCAAACAAAACTGGGTGAGTCACACTTAGCATTCTAACATCAGGCAATGGAAAGTATCACTAGATTTTTCCACAGTGCACACCACAGAATGTGCACTTGCTGTGGTCCCCATGAGCTACAGAAGTGTGCTTTTGGTCATGGTGTTTTATCACAACAACATAAATCTAAGACAAATTGGTACTGGGTCATGTGGTATTGCTGTGACAGACCTGACCCTGTCATTTTGGGAGGATTACGGTAACATTTGAACTTTGGCATAGAAAAGCCATTGAGTGTTCAGATCTCAGCAGGCTGTTGTGTGGGAGCTTGGAAGATAAGTGTTGAGAAAAATGCAGATAATGGAGACCTGGCTTTGGACATTTCAGAGGGAAGTTTGAGAGTCCTTTAAAGACTCTCGGGTCCATCAGATATTTTGTGTTAAGACTTCGTGGTTCTGTTCAGTGAGGACTGAAGAATTAGCTGGAGTTAAGAAGAGACCACAATCAGAGGCAAATCTAGGAAGTAAGTCATTGGGATCAGCACACAGAAGCTGTGGTCTAGAGAGGGCTAAAGCTGCACCTCATGCTGGTGGCCAAACTTGGTGATGTGTAAGATTCTCCCAAGTGGTCTGGTTTTGAAGGCACGAAGGGATCAGGGATTGTAGCTGAATTTTGGCACTGTGAAAGGCCAGGAGAGGTCATTAGTGAAGGTGCAACCTCCGTCGCAGTAGAAGCCCCAGTACTGAAGTGGCCATAACAAAAAGTTGAGGCTTGGCACCATGTGGTAGGGTCAGTCCCTGAGGAGAGCTCAGGAGAGGCTATTGGTGAAGGTGTAGCCCAGTGACAGTGCAGACCCCAGGATTTTGGAGATGCCAGTACTATGGATGGTCACCAAGGATAGCACCAGCTGTGGAGCAGAATCATCCCGAGCTTAGGCGATAAACTGTGTGTCCTTTCAATGGCAAAGCAGGCAAAAAAGGAACTACAAGCCTTTTTGGAGCTCAGGGGATCATGAGTGGGTCCCAGACAGTGAGCACTGAACGTTTTACCCATTGAAGTTTGCTTTGACATGATTGTGACTATTACCTGTGGCGATATACTGTGTACCCTAATAAACTTTGCCTGAAGATCAGAGAAGCAGAGCAAGCAACAGCCACCACCTCTTACCTCACCAACTCCTCAGCCTGAAAGAGCCTCAGCTGATAGGCCTCTAGCCGAATGACCTTCCTCAGCTGAAAAGGCTTTACTGCCTCTCTCCTCATGCCTTATATACCTTTCTCTGCAATCCCATATCATTTCCTGTCTCAACATTCCTGGTGTTGGGATTAAAGACATGTGACTCCCAAGTATTGGGATTAAAGGTGTGTGCCACCACTGCCTGGCTCTGTTTCTCTCCTAGACTGAGTCAATCTCATGTAGTCTGGGGTGATTTTGAACTCACAAAGATCCAGATCTCTGCCTCCTGAGTACTAGAATTAAAGGTGTGTGCCACCACTGCCTGGCATCTATGTTTAATCTAGTGGCTTGTTCTATTCTCTGAACTTCAGGCAAAGTTTATTAGGATATACAATTACCCAGTTTTCCCTTTTGAAGAAAGTAAAGTATTTTTGATTTTACAGGACCCCAAAGTAGAGAGACTTTAAACTCTTAAAGACATTGGATTTCAGACAGATTTTGAATATTTTAAAGAGACTTTGGACTTTTAAATGTTTGAATTTTCAAAGACTGTGAGACTTTTAAAAGTTGGAATGTCTCACTGGATATATTAACCATACTTAAGGGTAGACCCCATGCCAAGCAGTAGACAGCCAATAGGAGATGAACTCAATGGTATTTTTGTTTCATATTGCTTTGTTTAGGAATTTTTTTGTCTTAGTGGTTTTTTGCTCATGTATCATGGTTTCTGATTTTGTTTATGGATTTTTGAATTTGTTTCTCTGTGTTTTCCTGTATGTTTCTTGTTCTTTGTTTTTGTTATTTTTTTATTTGCTTGCTTTTTTGTTTGCCTGTTTGTTTTCTAAAGAGAAAGAGGGTATGGAGTTGTATGGGGAGGATCTGGGAGAAGCTGGGGGAGGGGAAATCATGACCAAAATATATAAAATATGTAGTATGAAAAATATTTTCAATAAAATAATTTTTAAAAAATTGGAATGTTTTCAATTGTGATATTAATATTAATATTCTATTTGGGGGACAAATACGGAAAGGTTGTTTATAGTGGTGTATTGGTCAAGTTGACAACAGGCCACATGTCCTGGCTATTTTTTGTCAACTAGACACAAACCTAGACATATCTAAGAAGATGAAATTTTAATGCAAACAATGCTTCAGTAAGACTTGCCTGTAGGCAAGCTGGTGGAAGCATTTTCTTAATTAGTGATTAAGAACTGTGGTGGTGCCACCCCTGGGCAGGTGATCCTAGAGGTATATAAGAAAGCATGCGTGATAAGCAAGCTATGAGGAGCAAGCCAGTAAGCAGTGTTCCTCCATGGTCACTCATCTAAGGACATGAGTGAAGTAGATTCATGGACCTCACTCCATAGGACTCCAATGTAGACTGGTTAAAGAGAGGGAGCTTTGGAGTCCTTAAGATGGGACTTGAGTCTTAGCTCAGCAGTTTGCTGGGGAACCGTTAGTAAATTAGTTAATATTTTTGTCTGTTTAACTAAATTCTGTATCCTTATAGGAAAGGTACAAACAGAAACATCTACTTCTCAAAGTTTTGGTGAGGATTAAATTAGAGTCAAAGCTTAACCACAAGGATATTTTTAATAATACTTTACAAATGATGCTTACAGGATATTATTATTATTATTATTATATTGTAAGCATTTAGTATGATGGTTACTGTGTGGTAAATCCTCCATTAAAAAGAGACATAGCTGGTTATTCAGAGTGTTAGACACTGGGAAAAGTCAATGATAGAATTGCAGTCTAGAGTCTTAGAACAACAGATAGTCTAGAATAAGTCATCCCACCCTGGTCCTCAAAGGTCAGTTCTTCAGAATTGTCTAGGTGAGTTCATCAGCACCTGTGTCTCTCAGTCTTTTAACCCCCAACACTTGGGGGTCAAACCATCTCTCATCTCTGTTGCTTAAGAATGACAGCAATTTGGAGTCATGCCCAAGGTTTAAAATAACTGATTATCTTGAGTTTCATTTTTCTTAAGACTCACATGTAGGGCCTATATCATATTTTTTCCTTCTACTTTTTTTTAAGTATCTACCATTGCTCTCTCTTCCAGTTGAGCAAGATGACCAAAGGAAAGAAGGCCACGGGGAAGAAGGTGGCCCCTGCCCCAACTCTCATGAAGAAACAAGAGGCCAAAAAAATGGTGAATCCTCTGAGAAAAGGCCTAAGAACTTTGGCCTTGGGTTGGACATCCAGCTCCAAAGAGATCTCACGTGCTTCGTCAAATGGCCCCACTCCATCAGGTTGTAGCAGCAAAGGACCATTCCCTATAAGCAGCTCAAAGTCCCTTCTTCCAGTCACCAGTTTATCCAGGCCCCAGACCAGCAAACAGCTACTCAGATGCTTAAGCTTGCCCATAGCTACAGGCCAGAGTCAAAGCCAGAGAAAAAGCAAAGGCTACTGGCCCTTGATGAAAATAAAGGTGCTGGCAATAGGGATATCCCCACTTAGAGACCACCTGTCCTCTGAGCAGGGTCAATACCGTCACCACCTTGGTGGAGTAAACAAGGCTCAACTGGTGGTGACAGCCCATGATGTAGAGCCCACTGAGCTGGTGGACTTCCTGCCTGCTCTGTATCACAGGGTCCTCTACTGCATCATCGAAGGGGAAGGCCAGGCTGGAGCAGCTGGTCCACAAGAAGACATGCACCACTGTTGACTTCATGCAGGTTAACTCAGAAGACAGGGGTGGTCTGGCTAAGCTGGTGGAAGCTATTAGGACCAATTACAACAGATGATGTTCACTGCCACTGGGGAGGCAATGACCTGGGTCCTTAATCTGTGGTTCTCATTGCCAAGCTGGAAAAGGCAAAGGTCATAGACTCGCCAATAAACTGGGTTAAATGTACGCTGCTAAGTTTTCTGTACATAAATAAAATTACAAAATTAAAAAAAAACTACCATCTAGTATATCACAGGGGATCCATAACTATTATTTTATGTAATTAGCACATCGTATAAAATAGTTTTTATTAGACGGGCATAAGACGCATTATTACAATGCTTGTTTTGTCTTCCCGTGAACCTTAGGAAGTTTTTTTTGCAAACCTCCTACTGAAGACACATCTCAGAAACAGAAAAAGCAATCGAAAATTGTAATTTATAAAAATTTATTTATCAATGTGTTTCAGTCTGTAGGTCTCCTGCTCTTCAACAATAGGTTATTTGGTTTTCAACTACACATTAGCATAACAAATAAAAAAAATAAGTTGCAGCAAAACCATGAATAAATTATCTCCTTCAAGTCATCCAGATTAGTTTTTACTCAAATTATTTTTTAGTCAGATTTAAAATTCTGCAGAGTGACCCAAAGCTCACATGCACTCATGCATATCAGGTTCATTATGAAGTTCAACCCTGTCAATGGTTCATTCTTCATTCGTTTAAGCAAATTAAACCAGTGTTATGCCGCATCTGGAATCCACGTCTGCCATCAAGGCAGTGTAGTCTTGTAGAGGCAACCTTACCCCATCCGGCCAAAGAAGGTAAACTTGGATTTAAAACTCCCAGATGTAATTCCAGTCCCTCCCAATTGCCTGTCACTCAGGTGTGTTAGGATGTAGACACCCTTGGGGAGAGTAACAGAGTCAGACCCCGAGCTTATAAGGTGAGAAAATGAAGAGACTTAAAAACACGTTTTCTAGGAGTGGGGAAAAAAGAATGCATAAACGTAGGTACAGCACCCTAAAATGAGAAAACTTCATAAAAGTCAGAAAAGCTGTTATATGCCGACTTCTTGATCCAATGAGTCCAGTGACTGGACTTAGATTCTCCACCCTCCTATTCCCTCTCTGGTGCTTCCTGGGTAGCCAGTGATCCACTGCTGTGCACTGGGAGGAAGAGATAGCATGCAGTTCTTGGACTCTGAATTCTCCAGAGCCGAGGGACCATCCTGAAACAAGCCCTGCCAGCTCTACTATCTTTGTTTTGCTGAGGTTCATTCTAGGGCTGCTTCGTTGGTGAGATCAGAGTAAATTTCCCCTGAAAACAGAGCAGAAAGCAATGATTAATTCACCCCATCTCAGAAGGCTCTTCTGGAATGGGTAAGGACTCACAATGGAAAAACAAAAACCAAACATTTTTAAACCTGAAAGTGGCATGCCCCCTCCCCCAAAAGGGTTGCCAAGGGCCTGGGGAGCCTCTCCTACCTTCTGTAGTTCCTATCTCAATGGTGCCTTTCCCTTGGCTGAAGCTCCATGGAGTATCTGGGTGAGTGCCTCAATTCCTGAAAGCGACACAGAGAGACATGGTAGCATAGGACAATGTGCTGTGGGATGTTCTGTATGGCAAATGTGTTGCTAATTAGTCAATAAATAAAACACTGATTGGCCATTGGCTAGGCAGGAAGTGTAGGCGGGACAAGGAGGAGAATAAAGCTGGGAAGTGGAAGGCTGAGTCAGAGAGACACTGCCAGCCGCCAGGATGAGAAACAGCATGTGAAGATGCCGGTAAGCCACGAGCCATGTGGCAAGGTATAGATTTATGGAAATGGATTAATTTAAGCTGTAAGAACAGTTAGCAAGAAGCCTGCCACGGCCATACAGTTTGTAACCAATATAAGTCTCTGTGTTTACTTGGTCGGGTCTGAGCGGCTGTGGGACTGGCAGGTGAGAGAGATTTGTCCTGACTGTGGGCCAGGCAGGAAAACTTTAGCAACAACAATGTCTTGTTCTTACAGGTCAGGAAGAGCAGAAATGTGCAGTGTAACCCACGCATTTCCAAGAGGAGTCATGCGTACCAGGTATCATCTTCAGAGAAGAAACCTAGTGGGAATGTGTCCTGGGAGAATGGTTAGTCTCTTGCCACATCCTGCCCTGATGCACTGTCCTGTCTCATACCTCTTACCATGTCAGGGCTGGTCTGAACCGGAGCGATATTGGGGTCCATGCCTTCTCAGGCCCTGGCTGCATCCTAGAGTTGCTGCACCTCTGCACCTGTGAGACTGGCCCTTTTCATGAGAGCACTTCGGCTTTCTATTGTCTTTCTTGGGTTGCTGGTGGGGGAAGCAAAAGCCACAGCTCTCTAGAGGGTGAGAGGAAAAGAAGGGTGGCATTTTCTGCTCTCCAAATGGATTACACAGCTTGCATGACTGAGTGGCCAGTAGGTTCAGACATCTCTCTCTCTCTCTCTTGTATGCCTCGTGACCATTCCCAAAGTCATACCAGTGAGTAGGGAAGAGCAAAAGGAAATGCAGCAGTTGTAGATGTGGATAATAGTGGATACAAGATTTTTTTGCACACAGATTTCTGTTTCAAAGTCCAATTGGACATTTGGTAAGGCTAAATTTTGTGGCTTCTCGTGATTCTTGGCTTCTACAGATATACTTGTCTGGTGCTAAGATATGTAGTCATGCATGTTCTAATATGCTTACTAATGAGCAAATTCCAGTCAAGGAGTCTTTTTCAGAAAACTGCTGGAGAGGTGGCTCGGTTTGTAAAGCAGTTGCAATGCAAATATGAGAACTGAGTTCGATCCCCAGAAGCCACGTGAGAAAGCTAAGAGTGGTACGCACTCTTGTAATGTAGGGCTGGGAAGTGGAGACAGGAGGATCCCTGGGGCTTGCTGGCCAGCTAGGCTAGCCTACTTGATGAGAGTAGTGAGAGTCCCTGTCTCAAGAAACAAGGTGAATGGAGTTTGGGAAAGAAGACCTGGGGTTGTCTTTTGACTTCCAGGTAAATACATGTGCACACACCTCATGTACATACATGGGTGCCTATATACACACACATTCTGGAGAGCAGTGGTACTAGGTTCCTTTTCAGCATCATGAATATTTCCTTCAGTTACACTATGTCTGGAAATTTGGGAGAAGTCAAAGTGTGGGTGACTATACAAATTTAAGAGTGATTCAGTTCAATGGAGGAAAAGGATCCATGAATTGTCAAAACAAAAACAAAAACACAAACAAAAAACAAAATACAAAATAGCCCCCTAGAAAAGCAGCCAATTAAAAAGTTGTCTTGTGAGCACCAGATGTGTATTGGGTTTCTAAATAGAAAGCTTTGTTCCCTCAGCTCTCTAAGGGCACAGGCTTGCCCTCCAGAGATGTTTCTCACTGCCGTTGAGTATTTGAATGGAATATTCTAGGGCCATCATTAAAAGTGGATCCTTTGCAATCAGATGGTTGGCAGCTCAGTTCTGACTCAAGACAAATTCCTAAACAGGTCGAGGCATTGTTTCCTCATCTTTGAGGTGACGACCATAATAGTAGCCATATTTCTGAGTTGTGGATATTGAACATGATTAGCACAGGCAGCAGCTCGATCCCTCACATTACGAGCAGAGATTTCAAATGTTCTGTAGTAAGGAATAAGAACACCTGTGGGAAAATGTCTAGCGCTTTAGAAGGCAACATGCTGTGCACAGCCACAAAGCACTTCTGTCCCCATGCAGACCTGTGAAGAAGGAACCCCATCTTTGTGCGAACTCAACTTATTTTATGTGTGGAAAAACCAAATCGAAGGGAATAATTATGAAGCTATGGGTAGCCCACTAGTAACAGAGTCTGGGGTTTATGTTTGGGTTACCTAGGATGCATGTGGAGCGTGAGGACTACCAGCATCAATTACCGTGAGTGCCAGCCAAGGCATCTCAGTTTCCTTGTTCAGAGCAGGCTGTGAGAGGACTTAGTTGCTGTTTCCACATAAAGTCATTGATAGCTGATGGCAGTGATACAGGGAGAGCTTATGCCCTCTTCAACCTAGATATGGTAACAGCAGGGTCTGGAGAGATGGTGCAGAGGTTAAGTGCACTTGATGCTCTTGTTGAGGACCTGGAGTCAGTTCCCAGCACCCACACAGTGGCTCACAACCTTTAGTTAACTCCAGTTCCAGGGAATCTGATGCCCTCTTCTGGCCTCTGTGGGCACTGTACACATGTTGCACAGATAGATGGAGGCAAAAAAACATAAAATAAAAAATCAGTAAATCTTTAAATTTTTTTAAATTAAAGGATCAAAAATGGAAGCATAAATGCAGAGATGTGTTAGGATGGGTTTTAGAAATGCTGTTCAGGAATTAGATATAAAATGAGTTGACTTTGACCTGAGCTCAGGAGTGCTAGGCACAGTGGGAGCTGAAAGATTCACTGTTTCCAGAGAAAACAGGTACTCAGTACCAGCTGAGGGTTGCCATAGAGGATTTCAGCTCAGTCCTTGCAGATTGGCTTATTTTGATCAGAAGCCAGAAATCTGTTTTATATTGTGAATAATCCAAATATTTCAGTAACTTCAAGTGTGTGTGTGTGTGTGTGTGTGTGTGTGTGTGTGTGTGTAAATGATAGGTCAGCCTCAGGTGTTGTTCCTCAGGAACACTACCCATCTTGTGTTTTTGGGCAGGATCTCTCACTGGCTGAGAACTTACCAAGTAGGTTATACTGGCTAGCCAGTGAGCCCGGAGGATACTTCTGCTCAGTGTGCACAACCACACCTGGATTTTCACATGATTTCTAGGGTGCAAGAGCATTAGTTCCTGATGCCTGTGCAGCAAGCACGTTACTGACTGAGCTGTCTCTCCAGCTCATAACTCCGAAGTTTTACTTAGAACACTCATGTAACATGGCTCTCACAGCACAGGGCGAGTGTAGCACATCCACGGGCTGGATATGGGTTTTGAGCAGTCCGTTTGGAAATCTCTAGCTAGAATAATTATGCTGAAAGATACTTGACATCATATCTCCCTCCTCCATACTGTTTTATAGATCAGAAATCAGGCCCAATCAGGGAAGAGTGGATAGCATAGAAACGTTACTTTTGAAGCAGAACTATCAG